ATCCAATTGTCATATAGACCACCATAGTTGATAACAATTGTAAAGCTAAAAATATAGAATAATGATTTTGGTGATTAAGTAAAAGTTTCATGAAAGTCAATATTTGATTATTGTTGAAAACCTTTAGCCACAAGTTGTATTTTATGTTGCACAATAGATCCATCAGTTGCTTCTCATGATAGGGTATTAGGGCACAAGAGACCAAGTGTCATTATGTAAATGTGCATCAAATTTATTAGAAATAGTTGCTTCTCATATAGGATCATTTGATGCATAAGTAAACTAGGTAGGTTTGTTAGAGGAAACAATTGTAGTGAGATGTGCTAACAAAGGGTAACATTGTGCCAACGATTTGTGAGATGTAATTGTTGAAATAGTATCATAAATGTCCACAAAATGACAATTGTACATTTTTGGAGAGGCAGACTTATCTTAAATAAAAGATGTCTATACTTTTAGATAATACATATGCACAATAGTGGCTTCCTAAATATAGTCTAATATGTCAACAAGCAAAGTTACATTAGTAGAGGTAAAGTTAGAAGTTAGTGACAGTATTATCATTTCAATAGGTCTTACAAACCAATTCATAATTAGTCTAATAATATTTGGTTCAGTTGAGGACATTATAAAGGTATGTGGAACAATGTCTTTTGATTTATATGTAAGTAGAAATATAGATTCATAGAAAACAAATGTTAAGAAATATGAAAGCACATAACAAATAGGAAGAAACAATGATAGTTAAGATTTATATTGTTATATCTAAGAAAAGACAATGGTTCAATCAATGAGTAAGTTTATGTGTAGCATACACACTTGAAAGTGTGAATAAAGGAATATTTTGGAGGTTTGTTAAATAAGCACTCAAAAATGGATATGGACTTAAGAATGGGTGTAGAAAGATTATTGATCAAGTAAACAACAGTTGAGATTGAGCTTGTTCCAAAATTGATGTAGCATGAAAGTAGTAAATAGAAGAATGATAATGATTTGAATAATGTAATGATGTTTATGTATTGTTTTAATTTTATTTGGGTGCATGTGGGTGATAAATCGTGTTGAAAATGATATTGTTAAAGATGATGTTGAATGGTTAGAAAGTAATGATGTCGCAACCAAAGAAATGTTCAACATAATGATTAAAAAAAAGAAAAGTATATAAGAGAAAATATACATGATAAAGAAAAGTAAAAAATTTACTAAAGTCATCAACAAAAATAATGTAGTAGGAAGACTCACAATGAAAGATGTAAGAGTAAGTTCGCACAAAGCGTATTAGATAAATTAAAAATGTGTTTTTGATGTAGAAGAAGATAGAATAAAATAATAATTTTTGACTTTTTGACAAAGCCTAAAAAATAGTCTTAGTAAGGTGATGAGTCATTGGCAACTCAAATTTTATTGATATAGTGAGGAGAATTTGAAAGGTTGGGTGACCTAGTTGAATGTGTCATATGGAAGGAATTGCATGTTTACCAAGAAATGTGAGAGGTGCTTACTTTGATGGAAGAAAATAGTAAAGACTTGTTTTTAAGGTGTCTTCATAAAAGAAACCCAATGTTTGATTCTTCACAAGGTAATGAGATGAATTAAATTTAACAAAAATACTTTTATCACAAGTTTATGAATGGAGAGTAAATTAATGCAAGGAACACGAAAATATTATTTACTTGGAAAGAACATGAAGAAGAATCAAGGGTTGCAAATTGAAAAGAAAAAAAATGAGAAGACCTTGACTATTTCAGACATGTAGTTTGTGAAAACTTATATACTTGTAAGATTATGAAATGCACCATTAGTCCAAATACCATGATGTTTTTATATGTGATATGGATAGATACCACAAGTAGTTGCATAAGACATAAGATGAGTTGTAGAGGTAAGATTTTTGTGAATATTATGTAGTTTTTTAGATAATAAGTTCTGCCACTAGTGTAATGAGAATCCTCAATGTAAATTTTTGTTGAAGTATTTTTCATATTTAGAATCATGATGTCCAAATTGAAGAATAAATTTGGCAATGTGATGCACGTTGCTTGGTATGATCATATGCACAATTTCCAGCACCACCATGATATGTACTCCCATTAAGGCTTTAGTGGCAAAATTAGCTGAAGGGATATCCTTAAACTTCCAGGAAGGAACATAATTTTGCTATGATTGTCATCCATAACAAGATGTTGAAGAACATCTTCTAGAATGAGTGACTTGAGATGAGTGGTAATCTTGGAAATAAAAGTTTCATAACTTTGTTATAATATTAGCCAAAAACAATCATAATAAAAATTTGGTCATCTAATGATCAATGATTATCTTAATGGATTGTATGTACTCATTAATAGATGACGTCCTACAACATAAAGTATGTAGTTTAGTGTGTAGCTATCAAATATTAGACTTAGAGCATGGTGCAAAAGCTCTAACTAAAGCATTTCATATATCTTTTGATGTGTGGTTACCTCTTACTAATGGGAGAATAATCTTGGTTTAGGAAAAATATAATTCAAAAAATATTTGATTAGTTCTTTCCCTACTAATGAAGTCCTTTGTTGCTTCCTCATCAGTTTGAACCTTTGTGGGTGGTAAAGTAAAGGCATCACCTATGGACACATATAGCCATAGCTCTTGAGAAAGGGGATAACTTTATAGGACATAGTTGTCCTATGATAACTTTAGAGGAAAAAAATGCATAGCATTAAAGGATATATTCATATCTTGACATGATATTTGAGTAGAACGGCTTTGATATCATGAATGATAAAAGAGAAGAGTGAGAGAGTATATATGTATATCTATCTTATTATAAGTGAATTACAAGCATCTTTGGGATCTTTTATATAATAAGACTTTGGACCTTGAGGTAAGAGAGAGAAAGAGAGATTGTTGGACCATTTTCTCACAATCGCCCTATCATTCTTCGTGAGAAGCTGTTCACAATGTGATATTTTCTCAAGGAAAAGGTTCAATAGCGTTTCTATAAGTCTATCTCCAAAGACTAGTCTATCTCACCATTAGAATCACTATGGCCATCCCAAGTGCTCCCAGTCCATGGGTGCTTGTCCCTATTGCTCGATGATGCTGTAAAGATCGGGCTTTTCAACCATGATGTCTTTCTTTTGATGTTGTGAAAAGTGGTTAGGGAAAAATAGTTGACTAGAGATGGTGGCATCATCCACAAGGGAAGAGAGAGAGAGAGAGAGAGAGAGAGAGAGAGAGAGAGAGAGAGAGAGATGTTCACAGAGGTGTGCAGCATTGGGCAGTGTCGTGCTGCACGAAGAGGTATTGCTTGTAGATAGACAATGCAACATGGGAACGTGGTACACAGTAGAGGGAAAATGAAGTTAACATAATATACACATTAACCTCATAGCAAAGAGGTAGTGGAGGGTCTCACCTTAGAAACCTGAATCATTTAACCATTCTATAAGAGAAATTGGTGCAATACTCCATCAGACACTTGGTTGCATTGTCAATTGTCATGCTTCAAAGTATGAAGCCATCTCATCAAATGTTCAAGCGAGATGATCCTAGGGTGAAATAAAGAAAAACCATGGGGGCTATCCATTATAACTATGAAGTACTAGTGGCCTTGTTGAACCAATTATCCTCCCTTCTTTAATGTAATCATGTGCTATATGAAGACACGGCCCTTTGAGTAAGAAAAGTGCTTAGGAAATAAGAGAGGACAACCAAGGCTGGGACTAGTGGAGTGAGTAAGGTAGGCCAATATTAACAACTCTGTTACATCTACTTCCTAATTTTGTTTCCCTAGAAAAGCTATTACATGATAGATAGGGGGTAGAGTTATAAATCATTTATCATTTAGGATTTTGCTGTAATCATCAAAATTTCAAGACCATGCTTTGTTTTTACCATCCAAATCCTCACAACTTCCATGGTTCATCTTGTCAATGTGGACATGTTTCATTTTAAACAAGAGAGATAGAGAGTATTTTTGTGTTCTAATATGTGGGGCAAAGATAAATAAGATTAAGATCATGAAAGTTAATTGATATTTGAGAATATTAATATATTCAATTTATCCATATATAATTTATCATGCCAAAATCTTAATAAAACTTTCAAATACATATGATACTTAAAATCTTTGTCAAGGAACTTTGCCCTTCAACCAAAAATAAGATGTCAAGAGTAAATGAAATTGAAACAATAAATTTTCTCAAAAGTATGAACACAACGTGGTCATATTTTTATAGAAATTTGCTCATGTACAAGAGGATCCAACTATTGTCATTTACGAGATAGAGGCTGAAACATGGGCTATCATAAGATTGCTTAGGTTATGTAATTGGAATCCAAAAAGCTCCAGAGACTCCAGTCACTATTAGATAAGGATGGCATCTAGAATCATATGAAATGCTCAGAGATGGAGAAGATTGATGGGATCTGCATAGAATTTTGTAGTTAAATTTTGGTACTTCTTGGGGAAGCAATAATTAGTCTATTTTGTTTCTAATGTAGCTTTAGAAATTGGCACATTAGCCGCTATTCATGTGGGTTCCTAATATTTACATGGTAATTAATCAAATAAAATATGAAGAAGTTTAGATTTCATATAATGTCATAAAAATGAGTTGCCTTAAACTAAGAATAAAAAGGCATATGAAGGTAGGTCATTGCAATTGCCTAATTCATCACTACGATAAGGTTTCATAAAAATTAATACTATGTGTTCCATGGTTTGGGTCAAAGTTTGATAATATAATTTGAGTGCAACAATGGATTACACTTCATGATGAGACAAAGATTTATGTAATATTAGAGCAAGATTAAATGACTGGTGTAAGTTAATCAGCTTAACCAAATAAATTATAAAGATATTACATCAAATAAAAAACTGTTTGATGTGTCATTAAAAAAGGCTTGATGATGGTGATCAAAGTGAACAAAAACTTCCAACATTGTTAAATGAGAAAATGGAGAATTCAAAGTTCCCTTTATTATTCACAAGCATAATGAAGGTGTGGGGAATATTGTCATGAAATCCATTGCATTATATCGTCCATCGCCAATTTGAACACTCGTTCGGTGATTTGGGTGTCGACCAACTGTCCGTAATCCATGTTTGCCTGTTCAATTATGCCAGAGGTTTCCATCAAACCAAGTTCTTCGCACATGAGAGCAGGACAAAGAGGAGGCATGGCTTACTTTGATGTGGATCATGATAACGTCCTTGAACGGATCGGACGAAACGTACTGGGAGACCACGGCGAGGTTGTGCACCTCTAGCACCTTGGCTATGCCGAAAAGAAGACCAGGGCTCTTGTCGGAACAGATGCTGATATGGGCGTGGTCGCCAGCCACGCTCAAAACGGCGTTAGGCGATGCCCAACAAAATTTATAGTCCTGCATGAGCGGGGCACTGAAAATCTCCGGCGGGAAGTTGGCCGCGGAAAATTGCTTCCTCCGACCAGATAGCAAGGCTTCCTTAGAATCCATCGCATATCCCTCGTTGACGACGGTTTTTCCCATTCTCTCCTTATCCCTTTCGAGCCTCCCAAGAGTGCCCTCGAGAGATCTACTAAATATTGTGAATTCTTCAATGACAGTCAGAAATTCATCCTGCAGACGAGATAGAAGGGAAAAGTCGAGATTAATTCATACTTAATCAGGATAGAAAACAAACGACAAGGATCAAATCTGGCAGAGAGGGAAGTAGAAAGGAAACCCTAAATGCAGGCCTGTTGCTGCGGTCAGTTTCCTTACATCAGCCGAAAGATGAGGCAGAACGGAGTGTAGGTTTGTAAAGAGATCGTTGATCTTCTTCCTCCTCTCCTCCTCCGACCATACAGGTAGGTTGTTCGTGATGCCATGGCTCCCCTGGACGGCGTCGACGGCTGGCTGGTCCCCTTCTTGCGGGTGTTTGTCCGAACTGGCCGGCGCCGCCAAAACCGTCTGGCTTTTCAAGCCCGATCCAGGTCGGTTTTCGGAGGATTCGTCACACGATATTTCGTGGTTGGACATTCCGCAGATCTCGGAATCCTGCTGGGTGTTTCCCTCCCCTCCCTCTTCTCGGGACATAGAGAGAAGTGAGATGGAGAATAGGTCTTAAGGACGGAAAGGGTAGCGTGTAAGCTGGAAGAAGAGAAGACGAGAGGTTTTGCTGGTCTTAAAAGGTGGAGATGAGAGACAGAGAGGTCTAAAACAGCCGAGCACACAGGAGTAATACCCAGAAGACAGCCATGTATAGAAGAGCATTAATGTCAGTCTACCGGAGAATATACAGAAGAACATTAATATCACGGACCCCTTTCATTTATCATTGAAGATTGCATTCACACGAGAGAAAACAGGCGTTCTAGGCTGGGAGAGCGGGTTATGTGATGAATACAGATATTGTGTGGGTGTGTGTGTGTGTGTGTGTGTGTGTGTGCGTGTGTGTGTGTGTGTGTGTGAGAGAGAGAGAGAGAGAGCAACTGGTGACGAAAACCGAATCGTAAGGGAAAGGATCCTCTAGTGAGTAGAGGCTTATCGGAGGAAGACGACGGACACAGAAGACAAGGGGGGTTGGAGGAAGACTAGGATGGAAGCAGACGGGGACTACGGCGGGAGTAGAGAAGGAGAAATGTAGGAGGGGTGGCACAAAGCGACGACAAAGAGGAGGAGAGGGGAAGACAGTGCAGGATGAGAACGGCGGAGGGAGAAGGGCCAGTGGAAGAGTGCGAAGCCTGATCTCATTTTATGGTACTGGACCCAGAATCCCTATTTTCGCTCCTCCTTTGTTTCGTTCTTTCATTGCAAGGGGGTATCTCATTACAGAGGTGAGGACGATGAGGAGAGGGACAGAGAGTGGGAGGAGGTGACTGGCGGAAGAAGAGAGAAAGGAGAAATGGAAGAGGGGAGAGGCTGCGCAAGGGAGAAGAGAAGGATAGAGGAAGACCTGGCAGGGGGCGGTAGGAGAACGAATACGAAGAAAGAGATGTCAAGGCCAATGGAAGAGGGAAGAGATGGAGGGTGCAACAGGCCATTACAGATCACGAGAGGAAGGAAGTGGGCAGCCTAGCGAGCACAGAAGTCGGGCCGGGGAAATCGAGCCGAGTTGGTCTCCCTTTAGAGCCTAGCCCAGTCGTAACCCCTATTTTAGAGTGCCTTGTCTTCCTTTTAAGGATCCTTTGACAGATAGGGCTAATAAAATAAAACTAATTATAGAAATAATGTCTCCGATCTGGCAAAGCCCTGAAGTCAATCTCTAGATCTTCATCACACACATCAAGAAAGCATGTTTCTGTGCTATATTAGTAATCAACTCAACACATTTCAACTTTATATTTATTTGATGTATCAATTTAAATGTGACTTACACATAAGTGTTCTCAATTTTTTGAAGATTTATTCATCAATCACAATAGAAGTTGGTGTTGTATCAAGAAAAGGATGTTAGTATTTAGGTAGGTATATCTGGTGAATTATTTATTATCAACGTTTTCTCCATAGTTATAAAGTCATATCACCAAAATCAAATATTTTCCCATAGATAATGTCCTACTTTTACATTGGAAATTCACTTTAAATTTATAAGACTTCCCTAAGGGTGGTGACGTGCTTTGGACATCACTCAAAGATGGTTTTGGAATCATTCCTAAGTCAACTCTGGGGACATTTTAGATAGCGTATTTTTTTAGGCTAATAAGTGTTATATTTAAAGTTAAAAAGTCAAAGACTTGATGAAGCTAGCTGTGCTACATCTTCTCAAAAGTCAAACATTGGATCTCAAAAGTCAACAAGAAATTTCAAGGTTCAATTTTCTAGCTATAACTTACCAAAATTGCAGTCTATTATGAATTATGTCAGCCTTTGACCCTTGGAAACAGCTTTGCTTGTTTTAAAATAGTATTTTTTTATTAACCCCCCTTGTATGTTGGGAGAATTTATACATTTGATTTTTGGGGCTTCTCAACTAACTTCTATCCACTATTTATGGCATACGAACTAGTCAATGAGGAAATTTAAGCGTGGACTAATACACGAAGTTGAAAATTATTAGGATGCTTTCAATTCTGCAATATAAAAGTCAACTGACCTGCCTCCATTGATGGTTACACATTATAGCTCTCTTGCCATATCAAAAGTAAACGCCCCCTAACTGGGTCCAATGATTGGATGTGCGTCCATTTATCTCACTTTAGCCATGTTTTCAGCCCAAAAATGTTGTGGTCCCTACCACCCCGAGAACAGTTGACTTTTTCCTTAAAGAATAGGCAGGATTGATCAAAGATATCCCCCACTCTATATTCTGAAGATAGATGACTCTCCTCTCTCTCTCCTCTCTCTCTCTCGCTCTCTCTCTCTCCTTTCTCTCTCTCTCTCCCTCTCCCTCTCTTCCTCTCTTCCTCTCACTCTCCCTCTCCCTCTCTTCCTCTCTCCCTCTCCCTTCCCCCGCCCCCACATACAACTGTTCTCCTCCCTCTCCCTCTCCCTCTCTCCCCCCCCCGCCCCCACATCCAACTGTTTCCCTCCCTCTCCCCCTCCCCGAACCTCTCTTTACCTGCCCTCCCCCACCCTTCCCTTACCTCTCCCCCTCTCTTCCCCTCTTCTCTCCCTCTCTCCCTCTCTATAGGCATATCTCTCTCCTCCCAAGTGCATAGAGTTAGATCTGCAGTAGTAAAACTTTGCGCGCTATATTGCCGTCGGGCGCTGTCGGCTGGGAATGATCTCCCTCTCTCTCTCTCTCTCTCTCATGTATTTATATCTTCCTATCTACCACACCCTTTCTATCTCTATCTCTTCCCATTCCTTCCTTTTCACGCCATTGACCAGGGACAGCTCCTCCGAGCCAAACCATCAACTTCAGAGATAACTCAATACCTCGCCAACCATTCTGCGCCAGTCGGCAAAAAAATGGTCCACGGAGAGAGAAACCCACCCGACTCTTTGTCGGCATCACCTCATTTGATCGAACCTAATCATCCAACCTTCTGGTCGTTGACTGGATTACATCAAGTTTGCGACCCACTCGGTAGGAATCCTTTGACCGACAGACCCGATTTTGACCCAACAGTGGAGTCGAATTCAGCCATCTACTCACATGTGTGGAGCACGTCCGATCCTCGTTCAATTAGATGTTGATTAGGGATTGAGGCCTGACCAGGAAGGCCAAAGACCGGGGAATCTGCCTAGGAAGAGTCAACTCTAGATCTTGATCGGGATCAAGATATCGGGTTCAGTTAATCCGATTCTAGCCCGATTCGATCAAAATCATCTCATTATATTCCATTGACAAACTCGACCCTGTTTTACTAAGGAAGGATTATAATCTCATCATAATTGGGTCAGTAACTTCTGACCCTGACTCTGACATCTAAAGTCAACCCCCCTAAAAAATGATACAATAACTCGGTACCTCTAGATAAGAGAGAACAGGCCATGGAAGGGCAACAAGATGGTAAACTGAGTGAGACGGTAGCCGTTGACCGGGTTCTTGATTGGTTTCTAATACTCTGACCTTGGAAGCGAGAGAAGGGCTGCGGAGAAGACGGGCACTGGTTTCACTACACTTATGGCGCTGACGAAGGAGGCGGCACCGGCCCCAATCAAAAAGATCAGCGCTGAAAACTTCTTTCAGACCAATCACAAATTCCGGTTCGATCGCAATCTCATTATTCCACCGGCATCTTCCGGGTTTACTTGTAAAAACTATGTCGGTAACCCTCCAGAGAGAGAAAAAGACAATTCAAAATCCTCCATCGCTGTCCGCCGCCCCCCGCCGACATGGGGGAGCTACGCTGTGCGTATGTGGTTTTCTCTTCCCGCAGTGTGAAAGGCGGTTCTCCGGTCAACAAGCCTCCCGCTTTGATTCGCCGGAAAGTCCCCGGCACGAAGAGGCCGCCATCTACAAAATCGAAAGAGCAGCAGCGGCGCTGACCGTCCGGTGAATGCGCTTCATGGTGGCGAACTCAGCAGCAGGCGGTGCAGATTCCGACGACTCTCTCCTCTTCCCGACGGCAGGTTCTTCCACGACGGAGTTGGTGGCGCCGGCGCTGCTCTCCGGCCACCGCCTGGAGCAGGAGACGGCGGCCATGGTCTCAGCGCTGGCGCTTGTGGTGGCCGGAAAGAGCGGAAACGGAGAAGGAGAAGCGAGCCAGTTTCTTTGCTCAACTCGGGCGGCCATGGCCTCGCCGGAGGAGACATCTTCCTCCTACCACGAACCAGCGAGCGCTCGTAGAAGGTACCGGGGGGTCCGGCAGAGGCCGTGGGGGAAGTGGGCGGCGGAGATAAGGGATCCCCACAAGGCCGCTCGCGTCTGGCTGGGGACCTTCGAGACGGCGGATGGCGCCGCCCGCGCCTACGACCAGGCAGCGCTCCGCTTCCGAGGGAGCCGCGCGAAGCTCAACTTCCCCGAGAACGTCCGTCTCCGGCCACCGGACCCAGTGGCTCCTCCACCACCATCTCCGTCCAACTTTCAGAGGCGTCCGCTCAGTCTCTTGGACCAACTCTTGTTCTCTTCTTCTTCTTCATCCTCCTCCTCTTCTTCTTCCTCGCTCCCTCTCCCTCATCCCATGGAGAGAGCTACGCCTGCGGGTCGTGTTCCGGCGCCGGAGGGCTCAGGCTGCGGCGGCGGGATGGAGTTTCCCTTATCTTATTGGCCAGAGTCCGGCGTGTACCCACCGCAGTAGGAGACGTTCTCCCGAGTTCTATCTATTTCACTCAGAAGCGGTCTGATGATGAAGAAGAAGAAGAAGACGAGAGATTTTAGGATTTAATTATTTTCTCAATTTCTGTAGGGTTAATTATTAGTTCCGCCCAAGTAATGGGCCTGCTAATGGGCCCCGCCCAATTATTTTAGTAACGCCCCAACGGGAAGAGAGAGAGAGAGAGAGAGAGAGAGAGAGATTTACTACGAGAGATGATAGTCGGCGCGTATTAACACCACAGATCGATCATCTACGAAGAAGATCGGACGGACCCCAGATCATCTTCTTCGGGTCGCCGCTGCCCCAATCCGCTTCCTGCTTGTTGAAGCCCTCGGTGGTTGAGTCGCAGGTCTAGGGCTTGAGGGAGCTCTCTGCGACGGGGGGAGCTAGCGGAGGGATGGATTTCGATGAGTACGACTACCTGGAGAAGGCCGTGGAGTCCCCCGAGGACGGCGGGGAGGAGGAAGGGAAGAGCTCGCGGCGCGACCGGGAGAGGGAAGACGAGGATGGCGGCGACGGGAGAGACGGGAAGAAGTCGGCCGGCAGATCTAAGGGCGAGGTGCAGAACGGGAAGGGGAAGGATCGGGATGGCGCGGAGCGGTCGTCTCGGTCAGAGCGGCGGGAGAGGGATCACCATCGGGAAGCCAGGCGCGGCGAGAGGGAGCAGGAGAGGGAGAGGATGGGTGCTCACCATGGCCGCCGAGACAGGGAACACAGGGAGAGAGAAGGTGAGAAAGATAGAGGAAGGGAGAAGGAGCGGGAGAGTGAGACAGATGGAGGAAGAGAGAGAGAGAGAGAGTGGTCGAGGCGGAGTTCAAGTAGGTCAGGACGGCACGAGAGGGAGGAGGCCGCGAGGAAGAGAGAGAAGTTTGAGAGAGAGAAGGCTGAGAGAGAGAGGGAAAGAGGGAGAAGCAAGGAGAGGGCTGCAAGAGAAAAAGAAATTGAGAGAGGACCAAAGGAGAAGGAAAATAGGTATTGTTCGTTTACTTCAAGTCTTGAGTTATAATTTATACGTGATAAAGATGCCAAAATGAGAAGTTTTTGGGCTTATACAACTGCTTTCATCTCATTTCTAAGCGTCTACCAGAGAAAACTCTGCCTACACTCTAAGAGTGGTTGCAGAGCTGCCACATGGCTCAAATAGTCTGTAAATAAAGGATCTTGTGTGAGATGCTGCATTTAGTTGAGTTATTGAATGACGAGAGAAGCTCATATAGGGTTTGTGAGCAGTGTCATCAAGAAATTCTTCTGCATAGACAACCAGTAACTGTGTATTGGGCATTAATAAACTCAATTCTGGAGGCTAAATTTCTTTTAGCTTCTCATTATTTTTCTCATCTTTTCCGCAAAGCCCTGATTTTTTTTGTTTTCTAATTTATTCTTGGACAATACTGACATAAATACAGTTGATAAAGGGGTTGGCAGTTGATTTCTCAAAAGTTTATGCCATTGTTAGCCTCTGAAATTTGACGAGACATGGTTGTTATTTTTCGCATAAGAAGTCTGCTGTGTATGCAACCCTGAGAAAAGTGGTGGCATGTTTTACTTGTGTCTAATTTTGGCACTTGTTGACATGAATCATATATTTTCCTTATTTTATTCTTCCCTTTCCAGCATTATGTCTCTTCTAGCGATGTGTATATGAGCTTCAAACTATTCTTCAGGGTCTTCCCGAAGTCATTTGGAATATTTGAAGGTTACTCCTTCATATGAGCTTAACTGCCCCCTGGTGTCAGTGGACATCTCATGTAAGCCTGTCTTGGTCTCATACTTGGCATGATTCATGAAGATCGGGGTCTGGTGGACAGCTAGTGGTAAAATATTGCCTACTTTTTCTATTCCTAAGGATGTACTGTGCTTTGTTCCCTAACTATATTCAAGGCAGACGCTTCTTAAGTTTTCTTCATGCTGGTCAAAGTCTAGAGAAGTCTACACTTCATTTTTTTTTTGCTCCGTTGGTTTTTCTATTTGACTTTGTATTGCGTGGTGGGTAACCAAATTGGTGGAATCTCTACCCAACCACCCCAATAACTGAGATAATAATGGAAACTTTGAGAGAGCCTCTAACACAGGTTTATCCACACAGGAGAGTTAGGGAGAAAAAGGAAGTTGTGGAGGCTGAAGTTGATCCAGAAAGGGATCTACGGACTGTGTTTGCTTATCAGGTAGTGAACCTTATGTGGTATCTACTTATGTCTGTACAAAGACTGTTTAATCTCTGTTTTTTATTTCACATCTGAGAATTTAATATTTCTGTTTTTACAAATGTGCCACATTTTAACATGGCAGATGCCTTTGAGGGCGACTGAGCGAGACGTTTACGAGTTCTTCTCTAAAGCAGGCAAGGTTGGTTATGTTGTCGATTCTTCCTCTTTAGGTAGTCTGTCATTCCACTTTAGGTAGTTCTGCATATACTCATATTCTGTATCATGCAATCACAGGTATGGTACTCTGTGTTGCTGTCCTGCACCATACCTCCATTGATGACTTCTATTATCTAGAACTTTGAACTTCTGCTCTCTACCACAGAGAAACTATCGTTATTCTTCTATAAGGCAACTTTCAGAATACTATTGATGCATATCATTGAGCTATATTTGCTTCTTATTGCAGTCAATGCTCTCCTGCCTTCAATGAGGGGTATTATAATGACTTTTTTGTGGCTCAACATGCTTTTTATTTGGTGAGTGTGAGCATGCATGAATTGAATAGTGATAAAATTAAGCAGCCTCCATGGGTGGTATAATATGTTATAACACTAGTTGATAACCCTTTTCATCTAACCCTTTGCATAAGCATATATGCTGATAAGCTGTTAGCCATATTTTCAGGTGAGAGATGTGCGCCTGATTATGGATCGCAATTCAAGGCGATCTAAAGGAGTTGGGTATGTGTTTGGATCCTTTAGTTTGTCACTTGGAACAATGAGCGCTGGCTGCTATGATGGAAATTTACCATTTAAATATAGAACACTGAAATTGGCTGCCGTCTCATGAAAAATTCCCGAACTGTTCTGAAATTTCTCTGGATTTCTCTATTTTCTTCTGCCTGTTCCCATTTCTCTTTGTCGCTCTATTCACACATTTCTTATCTTGTTTCCTTTGAAGCTAGTAATGTCTTCATCAATTTATCAAATCATTTTTTCTTTCCTGTTAATCATCACTGGTCAGATATCCTTTACTTTTATTGTTGATCTCTCTCTCTCTCTCTCTCTCTCTCTCTCTCTCTCTTTCTCTCTCCTTCTCATAAAATAGTAGAAGATTAATGTTAGGTTGTTTTGGCCTCGAAAAATTTGGAAAATTCCAGTAACATTTAATATAGGAATGAAACAACAGGAATACTTCTAATTCATGGAAAAGCCTTTGCATTGATGTGGAATACACTCCCTATCCTAGATATGTTGGGTAATCTGTGTAACTAATGTGATTTATCGCTTCGAGGTCACCTCTCCCTGTGGGTGTGTATCTTTTCTTATCGGTTCTTGAGCTTCCTATCATGGCTCTTTATTTTTACTGATTTCTTGATATGTTTTTTTCTAATGCATGTCTTGTTGGTACAGTTATGTTGAGTTTTATGATGTTCTGTCAGTACCAAATGCTATAGCTCTATCTGGTCAATTGCTTTTTGGTCAACCTGTAATGGTCAAGCCTTCTGAGGCAGAGAAGAATCTTGCTCAGTCAAATGTTTCTGCTGGATCAGCACTTTCGAGAAAGTTGTATGTCGGTAATTTACACTTTAACATGAGTGAGGAGCTACTCCGTCAGGTGATTTAACTGAAAACTTGCTTTGTTTTATATTGAACAAAAGTTTGATTGATACATAAATATTCGTAACTATAGTATATATTTACATATGTGTTTATGATGCATGAATGTGAGGCATGTCGGATTTCCCAGAAGACACTGTATGCATGGGATTTTTACTCCTAGCAGATAAAAGTTTAGATGAAGCATTCATTTTTTTTCGTCCTATGGATCTAAATTTTAGTTTCCTTGCTTTAAATGATTTGAAATCCTCTCCCCCATCGTTCTGGTCCATGTACTTCCTTTTCTTTTGTCAACCTGCGCGTCTGCATTTGAGGAAAGATTTTAAAATAATGAAGAGATTTTACTGGAATTTGGTATAATAAAAAGCTTGAAAATATGTATGATGATATTTTAGTATTTGTCAATTTAACTGAAGCATCCCCTTAAGAAGACATAAGTTTTTAATGCTACTTCCAATGCGTTTTTAGGATCGTGGTCAATAAAAGCATTGCAATGGTATTATGACATTCACCATGAATTTGGATGAAATCAACCATCCTATTCTAAATGACCTATTGATTTTAGCTTAGTCTCAACAGAAAGCTTGTGGATAAGCTGGGCAGTAGCAGGGGACAGTCAGATAGTGCTTTTGGAGATATGACAGGATTAGGAAAGTTTAAGCCTTTTTTAGAAACTTTTGAATCACTCTTTGCAGGCATTGCCGTGTTAGATTTAAGCAATCTGGCATAACAAGGGAGATACGAAGATACAGTTCTTCATCTAGAAACCTTGTTTTGTCAATCCGTATTATCCAACATTGATTGTTAAGTGGAGAACGTATAAATTGGATAATTGTGTTTTATGCATAAGAAAAATATTTTTCAAAATAAGTTTGTTGAACCTTTACAAATTGTCGAAAGAATCATGCCCTAAATCGTTGATTCACACTGTCCAACACACGGTTCTTGCATCCATTGCTTTAATTAAGTGAAATTCTTCTGTAGACATAGTACAGAAATCAACATCTAGGATCTAAAACTAATGTATAGAAATCAACATTCCAGTTCTTCTGTCAGTGCCAACTTAAATTCGAGAGGCTAGAATTGTCATCTTTGAAATGTCATGGTGTACATTGGAATATGTTTACAATCCCGTAGAGCATTTGAAATTGTGCTTTTTCGCTGAAAAAATATGCCTTATTGCCGTCATCTGGAAGCTTATGTTGATGGAAACAATTGAAACCGAAAGCAAACATTCGGGGTTGGAGCTTCCATATTATGGTGTTTGCAGTCGAATTTTTTTTTGAAGTGGATTTATTGGTTAACATTGAAAGTTTAGAATAACAATAGAGTATGACCAAGAAAGCCAATGGCATCCAGAATAAATTGGAGGAATATGAAAGAGCTTCTCAAGGAGAGCTAAATTAACCAATAATTGAAAGCTTATATGATTTTCTTTAAGGAAAGGAAATGCAGCATTATTTCATTCTGTCATTCACAAAGATGCTAACCAGAATCAAAACGTTGATAGATGGGGAAGCAGACTGTAAGGACGAGGGGAATGGCGTCAGAATTTATGTAATATGGTTTTACCATCATCTCTTCAAGGAATGTCAACGACACCTATTGTTCGAATATGACGGTTTGAGAAAGCAGTAAAGTTTTGATAAAAATACCATTCAGATAATGTGAAATCTGAGGTATTTATTGTGGAAGGTCACTCTTCACCTTTGCAGAATTACTTCTATTTGAACATCAATAGTTTTAGAGCAATCTAAAATAAGCATCATATCCATTGTTGTGGAATACAGATAAGAAGCCTTTCTTCGGAAAGCACTTAACTCTATATTTATGTTTGCCTGGTATGTGGTTGATGTTTATGCTTCAAAATGGGTGCTTTGTCGATGAAAAAGGTGATAAAAATAGATTGTAATGGGTCTTGGGGGAAAATCGTAGATGATAAGCAAGCAGCTATCATTGGATTAAAGGGTGCGCCTCACAATGAGTTTTTCCTTGACAATAAGACATGAGAGATCATGCTGAGGATTCGAAAGTGGGGGGGTCCTCTGTCCCAGTTGGTCTCTGTCATCACTAGAAGCATTTATTTTAAATATGGTGCATGGCTCATCTGAGTAATAATGAAATAGGATAGATTGAAGTTCACAGTTGAAGATGAGTTTAACCAAAGTTTGAGTTTGAGGGAACAGGATTTTACCTAGGATGGAGTGCCACTATTAAGGATGTGAGTCAGCCGGCTGACTGGTTGAAAAACAAACCAGCATCTGGAGGCTGGTTGATCCTATTTAAAGCAGTGCCAACGAATTTACTTTGACATTTGTAACTGTTTATAAAGACTTCCGTTGAAGCTCTGATAAGTCCTTTCTTCTGACCTGAGGATATATCAGGATTTCAAATGGTTGTCGTCATATGTGGACAATGTGTTGCTGGAAACGTGATAGAGGAGAGCTCCCCCTGTTCAATAGCTATTTTGAAGGAGCCCCTTGTTGTAAACTGTTTCCAGAGGCTCTGGAGATAGAGCGGATAATCATCTGTCGGATTTTCAATTGTCCAAATAACAAAATACATCCAAGTTGTGGAAGGAAAATCTAGAGTATCGTGCTCCAGAGCTTTTGAATGTTGTGAAAATACCAAGTTATCATGAGATAAAAGTGAACTAGGTGTCAAAAAAAAATTCATGTGTCTACCTGTTAGGCCAGGCTTGTGAAATGCCATTCCCTAGTTTTGATTCTCGTATCAGGGAATCCTTATAACCACTTTCATCGTGGTGCATTTTAAGATATTTCTCCGCCTTATTTCTTTTGTGAAGTCTATTCTTGTTTTACCTGATATCTGCCACTGCTCAGTTCATTCTTAGACATTCAAAGAAATCTTTGTTACTGACATTAATGGAAACATGTATCCTCTGTAGGTTTTTGAGCCCTTTGGCCCTGTGGAGCTTGTGCAACTCCCTCTAGATTTGGAGACTGGCCAGTGCAAAGGTTTTGGGTTTGTACAAGTGAGTGCCGATTGCAGTGGATTCGAAGTTGTTTTTGGGGATATGGTGCTAATGGTCTTCCTTCATTTTACAGTTTGCTCAGCTAGAACACGCGAAAGCAGCTCAGAGTTTGAATGGGAAGTTGGAAATCGCAGGCCGCGTCATTAAAGTGGGGGATTCACCCTTTGACCCCCAAACCCCACCTTTATTTATTGTTATCCCCTCAGTGTGTCGTTGTTGGCTAATGTTTTCTTGCTGCTGATTGTATACAGGTTTCAGCTGTAACGGATCACGTGGGAGTGCAAGACGCTGGAGCAAATGCTGCTGACTTCGATGATGACGATGGAGGTGGTCTGGTGCGTCTTAGCACACTGGTTCTTACTGTTGATTTATGTTGTAGTTGACGAGGTTTATTAATTATTTTCTTCTAGGATTCTGCTATCTAATGTCCTATTTATTTTTCTGGTGTAGTTACCATCCCTGACATATATTTAACAACGTAGAGGGTAAAACTATGGGAATCTTGTGGATTAATATCTTAGAGGATGGACCATATATTTTTTCAATTTTTTTATGGTCACATAATTCTGCTATATAAAATTTCATCGAGAGAAATGGGGTCATAATAAATGGAATTTCCTTCCGGTTTTCCAAAATTTTAAGACAACGTTTGTGGGTTCATCTTCCTCCACAACGTTGAGGATAAATCACTGTTAGAACATGCTCCCTTAAGTTGCTGCAATTTTTTTCTTATTAAAATTGTCTGGATAATCAAATTATCTTACACTCGAGTTGGGGCAACTCTAATTAGTGCGTCGTCGATCTGTTCTTGTGTTGCTCCCAAGGTATATAAGACATTCGGGTTTGCTTATATAGGGATCCTCCTCACTATCCTAATTATAGTAACCGTAGTAGCATTACCTATAATGACTTTCTGCTGCTCATCAACTGCTGCTGATGCTAATTTTGTCCACTGACGCAGACACTGAATGCTCAAGCGAGGGCAATGCTGATGCAAAAGCTGGACCGCACTGGGACTGTTTCTAGGTGCAATCCTGGCCGTTGACCTTGGTTATCTCGGAGATTATGTGAGCCTGTAGGCTGATCCGTAGGTACATCTCTCAGTATTGCAGGGTCTCTTGGCGTGCCTGTGCCAAATGGGCTGGCTCACAACCAGCAGACGTTTGGCCTCTCCATGAACGGGCAGTCTGTAATCCCATCAGCACTCCCGACGTTGACCACCTCGTCTCCGGTTGAACCCATCGGGGATCCGAGCGAATGCATACTGTTGAAGAACATGTTCGACCCCAGCACTGAGGTTCGTGCCTTTGTTTCCTTTTCTGGACCGTTTGATGGTTTCACTTTATCTTGTCCACTCTTTGGATACCATGGGAAACCCAAGGAACATCCTCCTGTTGCAGACTGATCCAGAATTCGATTTGGACCTCAAGGAGGAGGTGCAGAAAGAATGCTCCAAATTTGGCCCGGTGAAGCACATCTTCGTGGACAAGTAATCAATCCGCGCTTTTAACTCCCGTCCACTAATTTTCTGCCTCATTTGAAAATATTATCATCTTGATATCTCCCATTAGTGATATGATGTGAAGAATGATCTCATTCGAGTATGTGGGTGAGTTGACTTTTGGAAACTCGTCCAGAGTGATGGGCTGAAATGGTTCGACTGGATTTCAGTCAAACGAAGTCGCCTGTTGGATCGATTGACATCTCTCAGTAGATTCTTACTTCTAATAGAAATCCGGCGTTCTTTTCCGTGTCCGGAGAGCATGCGAAATGGGATAACATATAAACATCTACGCATCTATCTGTTGTTGCAGGTACAGCCAAGGGCACGTGTATCTCCAGTTCAGCTCCGTGGCTGCAGCGATGGGCTGCCAGAAGGCGATGCACATGCGGTGGTTTGCCTGTAGGGCGCTCTCGGCCACATTTATGGTACGAGTCTTACCTCATCTATGGTATCGAGCATATTATTCATCAATAAGCAGTCTTACATTATTATTCTTAGTATTCTTATTATTCTTATTATTCTTATTATTCTTCTTATTATTATTATTATTATTATTATTATGGCATTATAAGTTCTTATTGCTCTTAACCAGTAGAATTTGTGCATAGAAGAAGACGGAGGATCTCAGTAACATTAAAAATGTAAAACTCTGTGATTTGTTGACCTCATGAAGCTTTTCACCCGGCAAAAACATGAACTGGGATGGGTCATGAAAAATGTTTCCTTTTTAGGTCTTCCGTTTATTTTTCTTGCAGTGAATGAAAGCGTGAACCCTTTTTTTCTGAAGCTATTCATGAACATCACCGGGACTCAGGCTGGGGAAATTTGTGGATCACAGCTTCTTTATTTCCCTCCGGAATATTAACTATAATTGGGGGGGTTCTCACCCCTCCTCGTTCTCTCTCTCTCTCTCTCTCTCATGACGCTCGGATATATCTTCTCATGAGTCTGATTTCTCTCCTCCTATCAGCGGCCCAGTGAGTATGAAGCGAAGTTCAAAGCTTAGCCCCTGCGCCAGAGCAGCACCGAGAGCCCTGCAGCCATGGCTTCTGACGAAGTGTGAAAATGATGGACAAGAGA